AGCCATGCGGCAACGAGACTATAAATTCACTGTCCATCATCCTTGTCAGTTCTGACCCTGTCCAGAAAACATTGTCCTTTGGTCCCCTCTGCCTTCCAACCCCATGCACAATTTGTTATATCTCCCTCTAGGAAGGTGCTTTATTTATTTATTTTTCTGAGACAGGGTCTCATGTAGCCCAGGCTGGTCTCAAATTCCCTTTTCTGAGATAACCTTGATCATTCCTAATCCTCCTGTCTCCACCTCCTCAGTGATGGAATTATAAGTGTGCACCACCATACTCAATATACACAGTGCTGAAACCAAACCCAGGACCTCAGCATGCTCCGCAAGCACTCTAGCAACTAAACTATGTCCCAGGCCCCAAGGGAAGGTCTTAATGCAATGTCTAAAAGATGTGCACACAGCGCGCAAACCCCCTTTACCGTATCTCCCTCTAAGTGGGGGACTGGGGGTGAACCAGCTCAGGGCCTCCTGTGCATCTGAATGCTGAGAGTACTCAGCCGAGCGAGGCCACTCCTGTGTCACTGCACAGACTCCGAACAGCTCTAACAGTCAGCTTCACAGAGCAAACTGTCCATTGAGTTCAAGTCTCTGGGGGGAAAGAACGTGCGTCTAAAAGAGGTTTCCAGCAGAAGCTAGGCAGGGGGCTCTGGTCTGCCTGTGTCCCACGACTCACAGGTGTGCCGGAGTACATAACATACTGCAGTGAGGGTAGGCGTTGTGTGGACCATGAGGGGACGCAATGATGAGACACTTTGGGAAGGATGAGAAGTCCAACTCAGTCTGCTTCTCACCACGTACAGAGAGAACCCTGGAGATAAAATTTGTGTCCCTAGTGGGCTGTCCCCGCATGTACCACCCTCTCACTCGGTAACGGCGGCAGATGTTAGGAACCCCTCCCGAAGTGGGATACTGCCTCAAAAGCTGCCTTCCACACATTTCTCTAAGCACCCACATTCGGGACTGACATCAGAACCGAATCCCAGGGCTGGCAAGGTGGTTCAGTGGGTAAAGCGCTTGCCGTACTAGCTCGACGGCCTGAGTTTGATCCTCGGAACCCACCTAGGGAGAGAAGGAGAGAACCAACTTCCCAAGTTGTCCTCTGACCCCCACACCCGTGCTGTGGCACAGGCACACCTTCCCCCAACTTTTGACATCATACACAGAACAGTAAACAAAATAAATTGTAAAAGAGCTGGTTCAGCCAGGCGGAGGTGGCTCACACCTTTAATCCTTAGCACTGGGGAGGCAGAGGCAGGCAGATCTCTGTGAGTTTGAGGCCAGTCTGGTCTACAGAGTGAGCTCCAAAGCTACACAGAGAAACCCTGTCTCAAAACTCCCCCTCCTTTCTCCCCTCCCCCCAAAAAACAAAAACAAAACAAAAAAACCAAAGAACTGGTTCAATGGCTGGGTCTGATGGCAGCATAGGCCTGTAATTTCAGCTACTTGGGAGGCTGAGACAGGAAGATTGCAAATTCAAGGCCTGACTGGGCTGTAGACTAAGTTCGAGGCCAGCCTAGGAAACTTATGGAGACTCTGTCTCAAAGAAAAAAAAATACTGGAAGGTCTGGGAATGTGTGATAGAGAATTTACTATGTATAGGGCCTGGGCTCAATCTTCAGTACTGAAAACACACACACACACACACACACACACACACACACACACACACACGGTGATCCTGGAACCTAGGATCCCAGGGACCACAGGTCTTATGTTATGGCCTGTTTGAGATCTCTTTCATGGACCATTCTGTAGCTGGAGGTGTCTAGCCTGAACCCCATCCTTTCAAACTGAACATACCTCCCCACCCCAGCTCTCTGATTCCACAATCCTCACTCATCTTCCCTTACTGTCCGAAGCTCTATTTTTGTTCTATCCTTATCCAGCTATACACCTGCTTCCTGTCCTGAGAAGGTCCTGGCCTGAGAAGCCAGTCCAAAGAGGCCTGGCCTCCCACCAGTCTAGATATGGGTTGAGCTCTCCATGTGGGCAGCCAGCACTGTCCCCAAGGGAGTCCTGGAAGGTGACTTCTCACCTGTGCTTCGTGCCGTCCATCCAACCTTGAACCTTTGAGGAAATCCCCAGCCAGGAGACCTGGCCTTAGTGCTATGGCAATCTGAAGTTATATCATGGCCTGGCTTGTAGGTTTCGTGTCTGGCCCCTTCCGCTGGAAAGTGAATTTCAGATCAGCAGATGCCCGATCCAGCTGACTCCTCCCCACACTGCCCTCCCTAGGACCCACAGCAGGGCCTGTAGCATGTGGGCTGTTGGAAGTCATCAGCTAGATGAAGAAGTAAATGAACTTGGTCCCACAGGCGCAGACCCCATGTGCCCCATGTGGGGCAGCCTCACTGTGTGGATGGTGGGCCTGAGGACCTCAACCTCTGAATATACCGGCCCTGGCCCTTTGGCCTCTCCAGGCTCTGTTCACCAAACCATGCTGTACTCAGCTGCCTTCTCCTATTGTTCTGACCAGTCTCCTTTCCAGGGAATCTGAGTCTTTCCCCACATGGCAAAACCACCCGGGGACCTTGGGGATGGAAATAAAAAGCATGAGAGAGCAGGGCTAGCATAGGAAAGCAGACAGGCTCTGCCACCCATGCGATGGGCAGGGGTGAGGAGTGGGGACAAGACAACGGACACACAACAAGTGAAGCAGAGCCCCAGCATTGTTACTCACACAGAGAAAACAGCTCACAAAATTGAGAAAAAGTACTCAAAATTTTAAAATTTCTTTATTTTTTTTAAAATATCATTTATTTTTATTTTATGAGTATCAGTGTTTTTTATCTACATGTATGTCTATATGCCGTGGTGTGTGTGTGTGTGTGTGTGTGTGTGTGTGTGTGTGTGTGTGTGTGTGTATGTGTGTGTGTGTGTGTAGTGCCCTCATAGGCCAGAAGAGGGCACTGGATCCCCTGGAACTGGGGTTACAGATGATTGAGCCACCATGTGGGAGCTGGAAATGGAACTTAGGTCCTCTGTAAGAGCATGGCTTAACTGCTGAGCCATCTCTCTAGCTCCCCTCACCCTGCCAAAAAATGACTTTATTTTTAATTAGAGGTGTGGGAGGGGGTAAGTAGGTATATGCACGTAATTGCGGGTGTTCATGGTGTCCAAAAGAGAGCATCAAGTCCCCTGGAGTTGGAATTACAGGCAGTTGTGATCTACCCAGTGTGGGTGCTGGGAACCCAATCCTGATGCTGTGCAAGGGCAGAAAGCAGTCTTCTTACAAGTTATCTTTTAAACAGCAGATAGTACCAGCTTTAAAGAACAACTAGGAAACACCATTGTCGAGCACAGAGCACACACCTGTAATCTCTGCATTGGAGAGGTAAAGGCAGGAGGAGCAGGAGTTTAGGTTCATCCTCAGGCACACAGAGAGTTCAAGGCCAAGCCACGTGAGACCTTGTCCTGAAAAATGCAACAATGATGCTCTTAAAGGAGAGATCAGAGTAGGCCGGGCAGTGGTGGCACACACCTTTAATCCTAGCACTTGGGAGGCAGAGCCAGGAGGATCTCTGCGAGTTCAAGGTCAGCCTGGGCTACAGAATGAGTTCCAGGAAAGGCGCAAAGCTACACACACACACACACACACACACACACACACACACACACACACACACACACACACACACACAAAGGAGTAAAGCAAGACCTGTGTCATTCAGGTATACCTGTAGTTTTTACTTCTGTCACAGATGGGACCCTCCCGAGAATGCTAGAATAGTGACAATTGTGGTAGAGCTGGTTGAGGCAAAAATCTTCCCTTGTTCTTTTCTGCTGGTGATTTTTTGCAGCAGCTTGAGAATTGGAAAAGACGGGCTATAGGACAATAAGTTTGAATAGCATGAGAATGATGATATAGGCTCAGGATGCATTTGTCCTCTTGAACATCTAAGTTTGTTTCCTCTTCTTACCTGGTCACTAGTCACCGATTGTCACTAGTCATTGGTAAGGAATCCATGTACTTCTAGTACCTTTAGTTTTGACCCAAAGAAGCACCAGTAACTCTCAAGCATTCCCATGGGCCTCAGAAACCTGAAGATCAGCTGTGAACTTGAAGAGATGTGCAGGGAATATTGGGTAGTTTGTTTGGGCTGTTTTGTTGTTTTTTACTCCTTTTTGGGGGGGGCACCCAGCTCCCAAACAAAACACACTGAGGCTTATGCTTAAATATGAATGCTTGGCCTTAGCTTGGCTTAGTTTCCAGCCAGCTTTCCTTATCTTATCCCAACTACCTTTTGCCTCTGGGCTTTTCCCGTTCTCTAACTTCTGTAAATCTTACTCTCGCTGTGTAGCTGGGTGGCTGGCCCCTGGAGTCCTCCTCCTCCTCTGGCTGCTAGGTCTTAGATCTCAGCCCCCAGCTTAGATCTCAGCCTCCTTCTATATACACTCTCTGCCTGCCAGCCCAGCCTATCCTTTCTTCTGCCTTGCTATTGGCCAATTCTTTATTAGACCATCAGGTGTTTTACACAGGCACGGTAACACAGCTTCACAGAGTTAAACAAATGCAACATAAACAAAAGTAACACACCTTAAAATATTCTTCTACAGGGCTGTAGTAATTGGGATATGGAATTAGATTTTCCAATTTTGGAATGTTTTCAAAAGGAAAATTTTGATACGTTGTTTTCATTTTTCAAAAGTAAATAAATATGTATGGAACAGATTAAAATTGGCCTATTTGGTGCTCACATTGACAGCACACATGCTAAAATTGGAACCATGGCAGAGCAGACGAGCATGGCCCCTGTGCAAGGATACACAAATTTATGAAGAGATAATATATATATATATATGTATATATATATTTAATGCCTATATGGGGATCTGGGGACCAGGAAGATGACTCAGAAGCCACAGGCTCTTGCTGCCAAGCTTGACAGCCTGAGTTCAATCCCAGCACCCAAATGGTGGATGGAGAGAACTGACTCCTGAAAGTTGCTCTCTGACCTTCACAAGTATGATTACATGACAAATAAATAAATAAATAAATAAATAAATGCAATTTAATAAACAAATGTATATTAAGAGGATTTTAACAATCGTCTAGGAAAACAATCTCAACCCAAGACCCCAGAGGAAAACGAACAGAACTTGGGTCTACACAGAGCTCAGCTGAGAAATGCTGTCCTTGTCACCATTCATCACACATTGTGCTGATGACCCTGATTCCTTACCCTTCCCTGTACACAGCCTGTCGCTGTTCCCACTTCAAGGTGGCATCTGTATGCCCTCCTCCTGTAGTCTGCTCTGCCCAACAAGGCGTACAGAGATAACTAGGTAGCAGTTCTGAGCCAAGACCTTCAGAGGTCTTCAGGTCGGTGTCTGCCCTGCTTCTGGCCCCACCATAGCCAAGCCCACAAGCGTGGGTCCACCTGCAAGATGCAAGATAAGTGGTCATGCCGTCATGCTGGCTGAAACAGTCTAGATCAATCAGCAACCCAGAAACCTCCAGACCTGTAAGCCCCATCTAAAATCAATAGTGCAGTCTACTCTACCTCAATTCACTCCAGACCTGTGGACCGTAAAGCTTTCCTGATGTGTAGCACAGAGGTTGTGTGCTTCTTACACAGCAGACGCTGACAGATACACTTCCCAGGCAACTCTTGGGTTAATTTATTCTAGCTTCTTTCCTCAAAGCTGCCCAGCACCTTCTCATACCACCTCTACCAACGGGAACCTTGGTACCTCCACAGCCCATTTCAAAAACTCTGTCTGTGTTTGGAGTTTAAAATCTCTATCTGTGTACTTCAGCACCAAGAATGAATGGGCCGGGCTACCCAGTCTACTCAGGCCTGTCTTCACGTTCATCCAAATGCTCACTGAGTTAAAAAGCCCAGAAAGGAAGGTTGCTTTCTCTCTTACTTTGTACAAGACAAGAACCCCTCTGCTCTCTGGAGCCTCGCTCTTCCTTACCCTCTACACTGAAAAGCTTCCAAAAGGTGAAGATTGAGTTTCCTCGGGGTCACACCTCACTCTCTCCAGGGCTGGCTCCACATCTCTGGCCTGGATCCTTCCAACACTGGCCTCCCTGCCAAACAGTCACACCTCTCTATTCCTTCCTCCACTGCAGCTGTAGAACTCCACCACCCATCCCATTCAAAGTGTCTCCTGGCATGTCTTCTGATCCAGGAACTGGGTTGAGAATAAGGACATAAAAGGCACAGTAGTCCCTGCTCTCCAGGAATTCAGCTAGTGAAGGGGCTCTGATGTTCCAATCCAGGGAGCTCAGTCAGGACAGCACATTCTTCATGGGATGCCTGGTACATACCAAGTAGTTTATGTACATGTATCTATTTAGCATGCATGAAGAGGTCAAAATACAACTTAGAAAAATCAGTTATCTCTTTTCTATCATGTGGATTCCAGGAAGGGTCGGAACTCAGACTTGGTGGCAAACACCTGCTGAGCCACCTCACCAGCCCCCACATTAGGTACTTTAGGTTCACGTGCCTCTGTGTGTGTGTGTGTGTGTGTGTGTGTGTGTGTGTGTGTGTATGTGTGTGTGTGTGTGTGTGTGTGTGTGTGTGTGTGTGTGTGTGTGTGTGTGTATAACTAATCAGGGCCTCTGTTCTGCCACTAAGGCATAACCCCCAGGCCTGTATCCATTTTTAAAGATGATCAAGGCTTGAAGTTCACATGACTTGCCCAAGCTGTAGCTTACACCCAGTGACATCTGCGTGTCAAACCCAGGGTCTCCCTATGCACCAAATTGCCTTTGACCCTCCCCAGTCAAGACTTCGGTGACTCCCCCACAGCCAATGGAATAAGCCATTCTCTTTAGCGTGGCCTCTGGGGCTGATCCTGATACGCTCATACCAAGCCAGCATTCCCCAGGCTAGCCTCCATCCAGAGGCTTGGATTTCTCCCTACTCTAGGCTATCTCACTCCCACTCAGCTTGGATTGCTCCCTACTCTAGGCTATCTCACTCCCACTCAGCTTGGATTGCTCCCTACTCTAGGCTATCTCACTCCCATCCAGACCCACTGCTTTCTAACTCCCAGCTCTGGAGTCTTCTGCTGGGACTCTCCTGTGTCCACACAGCACTTTGACAGGACTTCTTCTGGCCCTGGCCAGTCTCTCCCATCAGGTAGAGTTGGCACCCCTGATGCACCCCACGTAGGGCCAACAGTCAGTATCAGTGGGCGAAGACAGTTCTGACTGTAATACTGACAAAATAGGGCAGTGGACACTATCTTGGTGCCAAAATTGGCTATTTAGATTCACTCAACAGAAGGAAAGAGAGAGAGAGAGAGAGAGAGAGAGAGAGAGAGAGAGAGAGAGAGAATTTCTTGTAGCTCAGGCTGATGTCAATCCTTGAGCTTCTGTCTTGCTCTCTTTTGTTTTCTTTTTATCGAGACAGGATTTTTCTATGTTGCCTTGTCTGTCCTGGAACTTACTCTGTAGACCAGGCTGGCCTCGAACTTACAGAGATCCACCTGCCTCTGATTCCCAAGTGCTGGGACTAAAGGCATGCACCACCACCGCCTGGCTAAACCCTGGACTTCTGATCGTCTTGCTCCCATCTCCTGAGCGCTGGGATTACAGGTGTGCACCACCAAGTCCAGCTTTGGGTCCAGGGCTCGGGGTCAAAGCCAGGGCTTCGTGCATGTGAGCTGAGTACTCAACCAACTCCGCCACATCCCAACACCATTCAACCAACACTTCTTGAGCACCTCGATGCTGTCAGGATTCTCTTTATAAACAACAGTAACAACTCAGCCCGACCTGCATGGAAGGGATGCAGAGTATCCGTGGGAAGAATCAAAGTGAGTCTTAGAATACCCATGCGCCCAGGAGTCCTTGGCAGCTAGAGCTCCAGCTGAGCTGACGCTATAGTCAGAGAATCCATGTGGAATGCCACCACAGATGTCCATTCACGCCTGTGAGCATGGCTTCTTGAAATGACCCCTCTGCTACCCCTGGAAGTCTGGGTGGATCCACCTCTCTGGGTTCAAAGTCCTAACCTAGGTCACAAGTCGTCGAGTAGCTATACAACTAAAAAGAGGAACCTGCTTCCACCAATCTCTCCAGGAGTGGGAGACAATTCTTCCCGCCAAGACTTGAAAAAGATTCCGTAAAAACAAGGGTGCTGGGAAGTCAATGTTACATGACCGAGGTCAGCAACAGTTCTTAGTGTTACGGCTCACGTTTTGGAGGGACCTTAGTTAGAGATCACCTGTTAGAACATTTCCCAAACTGTAGTCAGTGGAAGGGTAGGCAGCCAAGATACCAGAAGGTTCAGTGACCAAAGGAGTCATCTGAGAAACACTGCCTTGAATGTCTTCAAGACCTGTCAGAGTTTTTCACGTGCAGTGTGCACTGTGACCCTCCAGGGATGGGCGACATCCTCCGCTCTCTCGGTCATGCGACCCTTTTCTTGAAGGGTGTTCTGCGGGACTGACATCCAGCGAGCCGTGCTGAAGGAAACCCAAGTGGCCTATCCTCATCATCAGACAGGGAAAGTGAGGGGCTTTCCTCCCCTCGTGGCCTCTGACAGGCAACCCAGGACTCAGGGAAAGGACCAGTTCCAGGCAGGAGTCAGCAAGATGGAGGTCAGCACCCCAGCGGAGGGAATGGATCAGACCCTCGCCAGCCTCGCGCCACTTCCCTATTTTGCTGACACAGACTCCAGGTGCCGTTGAACAATGCACTCTCTGTGCCCGCGGTCTCACTTCCACCCTCAGGGAAACCCCTCGTAGGACAGACAGACAACATCACGAAAAACACCAGGAAACTGGACCAGAAGGAAGGGGCAGGATACTCAGCAATTCGCAGATGCTCAGTCCCCCGAATATGGAGTGGGATGCTGAGGTCTGCTGTTAGTTCTTCCACACATCTGTGTGACCTTGAAGAAAGCTGCCTTCTCTCAGCCTTGGTTTCTTCAGCTGGAAAAAAAATTAAAAGCTGTATCCTACATGTTGATTCATTTCAAATAAACATCTAATAAAGTATTAATCATTCTTTAGATATAAAGTTATTATCATATTGGACATCAAATAAGAATTACCTTCTTTCCTATGTAAGACCGTGAAAGACTTTTCAAGTAGCTCACACACACATACATGCCATGACACATTGTTCCTTCTTCTCTAATCTTGCTCTGATGGTCCAGGCTTCATAGTATAGAATTCCCTATCTTTCCCTGGTGAATTTTACAGTCCCAAGAGCTGCCACCTCTTCCGGGAAGTCCTCCCAGACTCCCTTCTCCCCAGGTCCAATCAGGCACCGCCTTTGCACACTGGCTCTAGATCTTCATAGCTCAGGCCTAGGCCAACTGTCTCTCTCCTGCTTGTTTGTACACTTATGGCTTCCAACAGCCTGTGACTTCAAAGCTATCATCTGTGAGCTGAGCCTGGCACATGCCGTAGAGTGGATAAACATAAAACCCAGTCCTCGTCTCTCCCCACTGAGCGTCTTGTCTTCGGTCTACCCTTAAAGTAAACTCCACATGTTCATCATTTCCCCCAAAATAAACACCGTTCACGCAGCATCTGAGCAGTGAAGGTTTTGTAAGGACAGAGGCGATGCCCACAGCGAGAGTCCAAATGCTTCTCCCAACAACCAGTATTCTCGAACTGAAAAACAATGGGCTTCCGTGGCTCGCTAAGAGGAGAAACACATCATTAAGTTAGGGTAGCTACCCGGGCGGTGGTGGCGCACGCCTTTAATCCCGGCACTCAGCGAGGCAGAGGCAGGTGGATCTCTATGAGTTCAAGGCTACAGAGTGAGTTCCAAGATAACCAAGGCTACACAGAGACACCTTGTCTCGCAAAACCAAGAAAAAAAAAGTTAGGGTGGCTGCCCTTGGCCTCACTGGGGAAGCAAGGCCACAATTCACCCACCACAGTGCAGTGCTCAGAGAAAGGGAACACAGAAGGCATAGGAAGGGAGGGAGAGAGCTCACTGAAGAGAAGACATGGCAAGGGACTTTGGAAGATATGGAGGCCGCCATCGAATGAACTATCCTGACATCTCAAACACAGAGAGACACTGAGAGACAAGTGACAGCCACTGCCAACTGTAGAGGCGACCACGGAAAAAGAACAGCTGAGTATGTTGGTCCTGGCTGCTCCTGGCCCAACCTCCCGCCAGTCCCAGGACAGAAAATAGCCTGACTGACCCAGAGCATACAAAGCATTTCCTGTGCAGCCCGGGGGACCCCCTGAGTTGTACTTTCTCAGGGGTGGGGCTGCCTGGGGGTGGAGGGCAGAGGAGGAGGGGACAAGCCATCTTGAACTCTCTCCAGCACCAAAGTGGCCAAAGATGGAAGGGAGCGGCATGCCTGCGCCAGGCCCCGTGTGTAGGTGTGTGTGTGCCCCTGTTTGTGCTGGGGTGGAATGTTGGCACCTTTCTGTGTGGCTGATCTTGGGTTCTCCGTGCATTTCCCTGGAAACTGAAAGCTGGATGGACACACCGCCAGTCAGGCTGGCCACGTCCCCATCTTAGGTCCCAGAGTAAACGGCAGGTAGTCACAAACATCCATCCCCCGGGACCCTCCGACCTTGGTGTTCCTGGAGCAACTTCCGACTGCTCTCCCATTACCACACCCGGTCCCCCAAGACCCCACCTTGTGTGTTCCCTCAGACGTCAACAAATTGGTTCTGACTTTGTGGAAGACTGAATGACCAGCCAGAACTTTCACTGGGAGGCCTTTCCCAGGAAACAGAGGAGGGTTCGGGGACAGTTAGGCCTGACTTCTAGAATCCAAAGTAGCTGACAGAGAGGCTGTCCCTTGGGAAGATTCCAAACATCCCCAAGTGACATCCCCGTGACGTAGGCTAGCTTTTCCTCCCTCCTCTTGTTCAGTCCTTGTCCCAAGGCGACTGTTTTGAGTACTTGTCCTTAAAGTTGCTCTCCCCAGCTCATCATTGACAGTTCCTGGGCTACCTGTTTGTCAGCTGTGGTGGGTTCCTTTTGTTGTTGCTGTTTGTTGTTTTCTATTTATTTAATTTTTTATTTATATTTTATTTATTTGGGGGTTTCAAGGCAGGGTTTCCTGGAACTCTCTCTGTAGACCAGGCTGGCCTCGAACTCACAGAGATCCGCCTGCGTCTGCCTCCCGAGCGCTGGGATTACTGGCGTGCGCCACCACCGTCGACTGTTGTTTGTTTTTAATCAACCTCATGTTGTACAGCACTATCCACCCAGCAGAAGAGCTGCCAGCTGCATCTGCTTTAAAAAAAAAAAAAAAACAAAAACAAAAACACCCTGGGCTTGCTGTGGCTCCCTCACAGAAGGAGGAGCGGGAAGAGTCACTGGCCCCCTGGGGGGACAACCACTCCTCCAGGCCACCTGTATGCAGCTCTGCCCTAACTGCCCACAGCCTTGGGGGTCTCTGAGAAGGGTAGTGTACACTGGCCAGGAAAGACTGGAAGGAAGGGGGCTCCACCTATGCAGCCAAGGGGAAGTCATCATCCACGCTGTGTGCAGACCTTCTCGCGAGGCAGGCTGAGGTCACCCATTGCTGGGTCAGTAAGCCTACGATAAACTCCTTGTATCCCTAGGGTAAACTGTAGTAGGGATCAAACTTTTGTCTGTCATTGGGACCTTAGAAGAAAGGGAAGATGTTACCTGGTTCCCCGATCCCCCAAGAAGAAAATTCTCACAATATCCCAACACAGGGAGATGGACTTTCCTAACTGATGGGCCTGCCGGCAAGGGCAGTGGTGGGGACTGTAGCAGCAGCTGAGTGCGGGGAGTCCTCTGGGAGGAAGTTGGGCTTCCGTGTTCAGGGGGTAGATATACACACACACACACACACACACACACACACACACACACACACACACACACACATACACACACACACATTGTCAAAATGAAACACTGTCTTTTAGGAATCTCAAATTCATTAACTTCATATTCCCCTTCTAAGTGTGAGGTCTCAGCCAGAATGAACATCCCTGACCCTGGTCTTCTGTCCTGATGTATGGTGCCACCAGCCAGCATCTTTGACCCTCCAACCCTGGACCCCAAGGAGTTAAAGATTCAGAAAGATCAATGGTCTCCCCCTTCATTATGGGACAGTAATGAACTCCTCGTGGAGGAAGGGGAATGCCTACCACGTACCTTCTTAACCAACCCAGAAGCCTTCTCAGGGGAGCTGCAGTTCTGGCGAAGGATTTTTCCGGATGAAGCTACATCAGGATTCAGAGTGTGGTTGCATCAGATAAGTTATTCCTCCTTGTGTCATTGACAAGAGGAGGGCCTGAGGCAGAAGGAATATGGAGAAGACCATGACCTTTCCCAGCCCAGCTCCTGGGACTGGGTCAGAGACTTAACAGGAAGGGAGAGTCCACGGGAGCAATCTTTCCTGAGGAATTTTTAGAGAGAAATTCATAAGCATGCTATTTTGAGGTTCAGGGACAAAGCATGACCTGAATTTGGTGAGAGGACTCAACACACACACACACACACACACACACACACACACACACACACACACACTCTCTCTCTCTCTCTCTCTCTCTCTCTCTCTCTCTCCTCACGAGAGACTCCAAATGGCTTTGTAAAGACTAATGGAAACACAGTGTAGCCAGGTGTGGTAGCACATGTAATCCCAGCCCTCAGGGCAGAGGCAGGCAGATCTCTGTGAGTTCAAGAACAGTCTGGTCTACAGAGTGAGTTCCAGGACAAACAGGGCTACACAGTGAAACCCTGTCTCAAAAAAAAAAACAACCCCAAAATCAAAAGAAATAAAGAAATAATAAAAAAAAGAAAGCCATATATCAAAGCCAACCATCTCCTGTAACATCTAAGCCTCTGGTTCTCAACTTCCCTAATGCTGCGGCCCTTTAATACGGTTCCTCATGTTGTGCTGACCCCCAAACCATAAAACTATTTTCACTGCTACTTCATAACAGTAATTTGCTAACGTTATGAATCAAAATGTAAATATCTGTGTTTTTGATTGTATTTGGGGTTGCGACCCACAGGTTGAGAACCAAGGAGTAAATGAGTGCTGTGTACTCTCCATAGATAGGTCTCTGATATGGGGCTGATGGAAATATGGTGTCCCCTGGAACCCAAGATGTCTGCTAATTGAGCTCAGCAGGGCAGCCTCTGGACTGAACGGGGACTCGGCCAAGTGCCCTGTAGCCCCTCTGTGGCTTGTGGTGGGGGGGAGGCAGGGAGGAAGGTGTTCAGTCACAAAATAGTAAGTGATGACCATGTGAGATATGACCTGTCTCTGAGAGGACAAGAGTCAGGGGGCCTCAGATGTGCAGCTAAGACAGACACGGGGGGCATGCAAGCCGCGGTGACTGCGTTTGCAGCCGTAGCCTGGTGACTTTGGTGGACATAAGAAACAGAGAGGCCGGGTGGTGGTGGCGCACGCCTTTAATCCCAGCACTCAGGGGTCAGAGACAGGCTGATCTCTGTGAGTTCGAGGCCAGCCTGGTCTACAGAGCGAGTTCCAGGGCAGGCACCAAAACTACACAGAGAAACTCTGTCTAGAAAAAAACAAGCAAAAAAATATAGAGAGGGTTGGTGATTTACATGTTAGTCACGAGGATAAATTAGATTGTGGTCACTTGTTTAAGCCCATGCATGCCCTTTCCGGTCCTCCCCAGAGTGGGAAGGACAATGAACACGAGGGTAAATTAGATTGTGGTCACTGTTTAAGCCCATGCATGCCCTTTCCGGTCCTCCCCAGAGTAGGAAGGACAATGAGCTACAGGGCCAGAGAAAAGAAAAGCACCCCCGGAGGGCAGAGGGGGCATGGGCTCTCCCTTGGGCTTTATCAACAATAGCATGGGTAGCAACGTTGTTTGTTTCTGGAGTCAAGACCCCTCCCCGGATACCCCCACTCCTCGGTGGCAGTCGGTGAGGCACAAGCAGGAATGGGTGGCAGGGGCAGTTGGAAACCTCCCAGTACTTGGGGTACCACCTCTGTGACCGTGACTTTATGTGGCCAGGAGCGGAAGAGGTCGGAGAGGGCTAAGAGAACGGACTGCTCTGTGTAAGAGAAGAGAACGACCCCAGGCTGAGCTGGAGAAACGGTGGACTGACCCAGCTGGGGTGTGGCCCCTACTCAAGCCTCAGGACCCCCCCCAACACCACCCCCCCAGTTGTGAAACAAGCAATAGGAGAAGATCCTCTGGGCCAGAGACCCAAGTTTGGAGATAGGTTGATCACACGTGTGATTCCAGACCTGCTCGTAACTGTGACACCTGCCCAGTACTCTTAAACCCAAACCACTGCGTCTATATGTGAACCTGCCCTGGGTGGACAAGCCCACAAGGCCCTCCTAACCATGCCCGGTACTGGAAACCTCAGTGCCAGGCAGGCTGGGACTTCACTGTTGGTGAAATACAAACAGCCGGGACTTGGGCAGGGGAATGAGCTAACTCCAAAGGCAGCCCACCAGTGAGATCTTCCAAGCTGGTTGATGTCAGAACAGAGAGATCTGAGACTTTCGGGAGATGAGTGTGATCAGAGCAGGAAGCCAGGCCACAGTTCAAGGGCACAGAGGACAAGCCTTGTTCCTGCAGGGAGACAGAGAAAAGGCCAAGCAAGGCAAGGCTAGTCAGATGTCAGAAGTAAGCAGAGGTTATAAACCATAAACCAACCAGGCACGTGCCATGGAGCCGAGGTGGCTAAGGTCTGAGCATGTCCACAACTCATGCACATCCAGGCCCAGCTAAGAGAGCTCAGGAGCAATAAACAGCCGCCAGCAGGAGCCACCATCCATGCTCAAAGGATGACTGTGCCGTCAGCAGCCGTATGAATATCTACTGTTTCTATGTAAGAAAGATAAGAGGCCAGGTGGCGGCGGCGCACGCCTTTAATCCCAGCACTCGGGAGGCAGAGACAGGCGGATCTCTGTGAGTTCGAGGCCAGCCTGGGCTACCAAGGGAGTTCCAGGAAAGGTGCAAAGCTACACAGAGAAACCCTGTCTCAAAAAAACCAAAAAAAAAAAAAAAAAAAAAAAGAAGAAGAAAGGTAAGAGAACAAGGAAAGGGTACCAGCCCTCAGGCTTTAGGACACAGGATCTCCTAGGGGTTGTGGCTTCCCCAGGCTTAAGCAGCCACAATTCACAACGGGGTGAGGGCCGTGACACACGAGGCAAACAAGAGTTATCAGTAAGGAGGTGACCTGTGTCAAGCAGCTTTCTTAGTCCAGCTACCAAAGTCCTGACCTTTGAGCGTCAGCCCACACATCCTCCAGAGGGACCTCACCCATGGGGCAGAGTGCAGAGACGAAGAATACAAGCCCTAGAGACACTCAGAATGCACAGGGCACAGTTTGGAGCCAGCTCTCAGCTCCAAGCTCTCCGTCCTAGCTAACATGGTCAGGTACCACACACAGAGCACCCAGTAGGACACACCCCAGCGACGGAATATTCCATTCCTGCTGGCCAACACTGTAGGCACAAGGCATGTGTTGCAGCTGAGCACTTAGAACGTGACCAGCCAACTCCTCATCTCTGTTCATTGTTCTTTTAATGGTCACCAGTGGCTGGTGGCCTCAATGCTGCACAGCCCAGTCCAGTCTCCTCCATGTGGTGGGGCGGTTATGAAGCTGCAACTCAGATGAGGTTGCTCTTACGTGGACTACACTCTGGGGCTGCCTCTCACTGCTGCCCTTGTCTGCATTCCAACAAGGGCCTCTGTGCTCCTCTGGTGAATGTCTTTGGGACACCCATCTCCAGATCTGGTAAAATCTCAGTGCTAAGACAGGTTGTACGTCCCCCAAGCTTGGACCAGAGCCAGCTCAGCCCAGACTGTGTCTGAGGATGCTCCATGTTGTATTTGATCTATCACCTGTGATAGTTATCACAGCCCTGAGAAGAAATCAAGAAGCCTGAGGAAGTTTGTGCCTGTTGCTCTTCCCTACATCCTTGATTTACTTGGCCTCATGGGTACCATCTCAACTCTCCTCTCAGATGTTTTTTACATAATCTCAGAAGGCTTTATCCTCCAGGAGAAGTCAGATCCAAAACTGATAGTTTCTGCCACAGTGTCTGGCACTGTATAAATTGGGCAGTGACTCTCAGTCACCTGAAAATGGTCCCCTTCACATCCAAATTCGTATGGACCCAGAGAACTGGATCATCACAGCAGCAAATGGCCTTTTTCTATCCAGTGTAGCCTGTTGTTACTGCGACACCACCTTAAAACACATTCCCATTTCCTTGGTCTCTGCCCAGCTCACTCGCTCTCCTGTACGCTGATATTGTGTAGTACAATTTTCTCTTTAAAATGCTTCTCTCAAAAATTTTTCTCTGGCCGGGCGGCAGTGGCACATGCCTTTAACCCCAGCACTTGGGAGGCAGAGCCAGGCAGATCTCTGTGAGATCCAGGACAGGCACCAAAACTACACAGAGAAACCCTGTCTCGAAAAAAAAAAAAAAAAAATCTCTCTGCCTCTCTGCCAGGGCACCTGCAGAGGCTCCGGGTCCCAAGTGGCAGCCTGGAGTTGTAAGCGCCCACTGTCCCCTCTCTCTTGCAGCAGCCCACCCTTAACAACTCCCAGTGCACCCTGCTGCACAGGGGTGCCTACCTAGATTGCCCATGTCTCACACTCAGCCTCTCGGAGCTGGTAAGTCTTCACGCCACAAATCAGATCAAAGCTCATGTCCACTACTTCCTCCCCCTGCCCACAGCTCCCAGCCACATAGCTCTCTCCTCTTCCTGCCCACAGCCCCCAGCCACATAGCTCTCTCCTCTTCCTGCCCACAGCCCCCAGCCACATAGCTCTCTCCTCTTCCTGCCCACAGTTCCTGCTTCCTGCAGCATTTGCACCCTGCGCTGCCTGCCACAGCTCAGTCTTAGATAGATAGATAGATAGATAGATAGATAGATAGATAGATAGATAGATAGATAAACAAATGAAAGACGAGGTTTAAATTAGCCAGCTCCCTCTAAAACAGTGGTTCTCAACCTGGGGATTGCGACTCCTTTGAGGTCACATTGAATATCCTGACTATCAGATATTTACATTATGATCCACAACAGCAGCAAAATTACAGTTATGAAGTAGCAACAAAAAGAATTTTACGGTTGGGGGGTCCTCACAGCATGAGAAACTGTATTAAAGGGTCACAGCATTAGAAAGGTTGAGAACCCCTGCTCTCCAACCTGGTCTGCTCAGACTGTATTTATGGGGGTGGGACTTCCCACCACACTCAAACCTCTCTCTTGGCTGCCACCCCCAGCAAGCCACTGCCACCTGATCAACTGCCTCCCTCCCTCTGGCACACACACCCACTTTGGCTAAAGTTCTGTCT